GCGGCGCGCTACCAAATGGATCTTTCAAACCCGGATTGGCAAGATGTCTTGCAGAGACAGACTTATTACCCTGGACTTACTCCCTCTTTCCTACGAAAGAGAACTGAAAGACTTGGTATTCTTTTATAAGTGCTTATTTAATTATATTCACCTTGATGTATGCATTTGCTTCAATTCATGCCATTTGAATTAACAACTTTTTTAACAACTTTATTTGGTTTATAACATAGTACTAACTACACCTCTAGCTTGTAGCACGAGCAAGTTCTTACTAGTGTCTACGTGCAGGGCTCGTCAATGTCAAAGGACGTTCTCAGGCAGTCAAAAAGTGTTTGTTTGACGAAAAGCTGGAAGGAGAGCGGACTCGAAAAACTAGAAGAAGGAGCAATAGAACAAGAGTAATTCCAAAGTTTCACAATGCGATTAAAGTAGGAGACCTGAAAGGGGCTCGTTTCACAGATTGGTGTTTTTAAATTAAAGGAGTTGCTTAGTCTACTACGGCCGTGAGAAATAAAGTTTGTGAAACTACGTAGCTGTTCTTACGAATTTCACAAATTGCCTTTATCGCGTGTTTATTTCTTTGATAACACACTTTTACGAAGAGTGAAAGAGAGAATGCCGTCAATGAGGGAATGCAGATCTATCATTGGTATACGAGTAATTAAAAAAACTATTGTGGTCAATAAAACATGTAACAAGTTGTACTTATTCTGCAGCAATCTAATATGAACGAGTTCGCATACGATTAGTTACACCTTTTCCAACATAAACATGAAATGCGCACCGTGAATATTTTGTTATAATAACAAGATACAAAAGAACAAAAATAGTCGTACAAAATCTAGGTAATCACTCAGTTTTGACACAAAGCTGTATTTACTTAGTAATTTCTCTGTGGCCTAATGCAGTGTGAATTAGAAATCATGAATCACTAGTCATCTTTTCTCGCGTTTTTCATCCATTAAAGAGAAAGCTCAAAAGTCTGATTGGACATGAGATCTAACGGGTAACTTTTTGAACTTTTTGAAGAACATTCTTTTAGCATTAAGAGCGGAATTAAAAGGTAGCAGAAGTGAAGCCTTCAAAAATTTCACTGGACAGGATAACCCTATCTTATGTGTATTTTACAAATCAATGCCTGTTAGGTGCGCTATTTAGCCGCAATCTGTGCTGCAGACTTCGCAGCTATGTTTAAAGACATGTCCATAACAGCAAGAGACTTAGCCACGAAATCATACAACTGAAATCACGCAAATTTTTTGAATTTATGGAAAGTCCTTGAATTAGCAACACGTCCCGGCAAACCATCAAACAAAGCGTTTCAATGTTTCTCTATGGTCCACAATCCACCTCTGTATTTTGACTTATTATGAACTTTGATCCCTTCTTCCTCTTATATGGAGAGACGGTCGCCCTATTTCGCTTCTTTCGTTTTGGGGATTTTCCCGGGTCAGCTCGAGCTTGAAAAATGTTTCCACAATTAAAGCATCTGCAGACTTCGGTGCATCCTATGCCACCCGCTACACACGGACACTTCGACTTGCGGAGACTGTCTTGACACGACTTGTGACTTGCATTTGGTTCTCCGTCCCCTTTGCTCTTTTGTCCAACTCCGCACCTACAGCCTCTCTTCAGACTCTTTTTTACCTTCACAACTTCATTGGAATTGCACGTATTTTTGCAATTGTAACATCTACACGAGCGGGTTTAAGAGTGGTTCACTTTGTGGCACGGGCATTTACCAGAAACACAGAAAATATCTGAAACGGACTTATTTTTCTTGTTTTTACCGCAAGTGCATTTTGTTTCCTTCGCTTGTTCGTCACAGTCATTCTCACTTGAAACTTCTGAAACGATGAAACCATGTCAAGAATTAATGCAATGGTTTCCGACAAGGTTTCGACAAGTTAAAGGTCATTAGTATATACTAAAGCAGTGGATAGCGTTGAAGCTGCGCTCTGACTGGCTACTCAAACTCCGAATATCTTTTGCTATTTACCTCCGAGCAACTCGCGACTTTCACGCTCCCGCACGTACAGGAATAGATTGATTATTAAAATCATCTTTTTGTGCCAAATTATCTCACTGATTTAGTGTGTACTAAAAACAACTATTCGCCTCAGTGTCGTGGCTATCAGTGAATATTTGCCAACCTGCTTCGTAGCTCGTTAAATATCTACTATAGCCCTGTATAGCTCTGTATCGCCCTGTATAGCTCTGTATATCTCTGTGTAGCTGTGTATAACCCTGTATAGCTGTGTAAAGCCCTGTATAGCGGTGTATAGCCCTGTATAACTGTGTATAGGTGTTTACACCTCTGTTAGCTGTGTATAGCCCTGTATAGCTGTGTATAGCCCTGTATAGCTGTGTATAGCCCTGTATAGCTGTGTATAGCCCTGTATAGCTGTGTATAGCTTTGAATAGCTGTGTATAGCCGTGTATAGCCCTGTATAGCTGTTTATAGCACTGTATAGCTATTTATAGTACTGTATAGCTGTTT